GACTGAGCCAGCTTTGGTTCATCTCACCAGGTATGCATTAATTAGCCTCTGCCACCGAGTTTCAAAACAGGCAAGCTCCATTTCCCAGCAGCTAACCGTGTGTCACCTAACAGCAGTGACAACTAAAGAGCCTTGATATGTGGACACAAAGCAAACCCTTCCACGCGTGGTCCTGAAATCAATGTGGTTGCATAATTCAAAACAGCTTGCTGGATGATCCCATACTTAACCTCCCCTCCCCGTCCCCCAAATATTATGGTTGGCATAGCCTGACACAACAGAATAAAAAGGTAGAACCTGCAATGTTCATCTTCCTTCTCATGCTGGTTACAGGGAGAGAATATAGGTAGAATTTCCTTTGTAGAGTTTTGGTCTCTACAAAATGAATCAGAATCAGAATAGAACTGGAAGGGACCTTGGAGGTCTTCTAGTCCAACCCCCTGCTTGAGCAGAACCTATACCAGGGATGGCTAACCTTTTCCAGACCAAGTGCTCAAAGCGTGCCCAAATCCCCAAAATGCAATGCATGTGTACCCCCCGCACGTGCCCCACCCTCCACGCATGCATGGCAGAGACTCAAAGACCAGCTTGCTGCCAGGAGGCACACATGCATGCGCGGCAGAGCTGAACTGGGGCGATGGCTTGCGTGCCCACAGAGAGGGCACTGCATGCCATCTGTGGTATGTGTGCCATAGGTTCGTCATCATGGACCTATACCATTTCATACAAGCGACTGTCCAGTTTCTTCTTAAAAGCTTCCAGTGATGAAGCACCCACAACTTCTGAAGGCAAGCTGTTCCACTGGTTAATTGTTCTCACTGTAAGGAAGTTTCTCCTTATCTCCAGGTTGCTTCTTCTTGATTAGTTTCCTTCCATTGTTTCTTGTTTTGCTTTCTGGTGCTTTGGAAAATAAATTGACCCTGATCTTCTTTGTGGCAGCCCCTCAAATACTAGAATACTGCTATCATGTCACCCCTAGTCCTTCTTTTCTCTAATCTAGCCATATCTATGTCCTGGAAATGTTCTTCATGTGTTTTTGGTCATATGAATGACTAAATAATGGAATCTTAAATCAGAATTATGGAACAAAGCAGACAACACCATTTTTAAATGGCAGCTTGTGTCAAACACAGAGATGGAAATTCCATGTAACAAGTGGTTTATTCTTGCTTATGTGTAAAAGCATATTTTAATACAAAAAAACAGTCAAAGATGACACTTTTACTTGAAGTATAGCCTGGTGGTATAATTTGTTTCAGTATCTCATTCTCATAGAAGAGTACTTTAAGGGATAGAGAGCAGGTGAATACTAGAAGAATCAAGGTGTTTTTCTCTATTTGCCTTCAACTGTGCAAGCTACAAATAAAACTGATTTATTTGACATCTGAATGTAACCTTACTTCATTTTGCATTTTCAAACCAATAGAGTAATGTTCAAAATGTGCATTAAGAAGCCGTTTTCAGAAAAATGCATATATTCATTAAATAATGTACCATATGGGATCTATTTGGGAACAGAAGAGTAGTATACATTAGGCAAAATTTGCAAGTAAAATGAAGAAACGTGTACTAAAATGTACACAGATGTTAATGTGGTCTTTTTTAAAAAATCAGGTTTGATTTTCCAAACTTAACATATTTCCAGAAATCAAGAAACTATTGAAAACAATCTTGAATAATCTGAATCTGTCGTTTACTTTGTTCTAAGAACGAAGCTTGTGGTGATAAGTGATAGGCATGAATGCTTAGATAGCCAGGGACAAGTTTCACGCCCAGTCCAAACCTTAAGTGTGGGAATAAACTAGAATCACACCCAGCTATATTGTCAAGAATTATGGCTAAATCTTGATGTCATCATAGAATCATAGGTGTGTAATAGAGATTTTCAAGTCTAATCTCCTGACCTCCTGGGCAGGAATTCTCATTTGATCACCCCAGGCCAATGTTTCTTAACCTTGGCAACTTTAAGATCTATGGACTTCAACTCCCAGAATACCCCAGCCAGATATGCTGGCTGAGAAACTCTAGGAATTGAAATCCACACATCCTAAAGTTGCCAAAGTTGAAAAACACTGGCCCAGCCAAGCAAATGGCTCTCTAATACTTGCTTGAAAATCTCCAGTGATGAAGAATCCATGACTCCAGCAAGCAAGTTGGCTATATTTGCTTAATATTTCTCATGACAGAACATTCTTATTTCTAATTTGCATTTCCCTCTGTTAAGATATTGTTGCTTCTTGTCCTATCTTTGGGAACTATACAGAATAAATTCATAGACTCACAGACTTTCAATATTTGACTAATGCTAACGGGGAAGATTCACACAAAGCAAACTTCATTTATTTACATCACTTTAGGACCTCCCTCCCTACAATTAAAAATGCCAAACCCCACCCCTTGTCTCTTACAATTATTAAATAAAAGCAGTAACCAAAACAGTGATATAGGCCAATATAAGAAATAAAACAGTTAAAACAGAGCAGCAGGGACCTCTTTGTTGTTCAATTTGATATCATCATTAAAAGCAGATCAAACTAAAAAAATGTTCAGGATCCATTTAAAAGCTGACAAAAATACGTAAGTCTGAGATGGGAGTTTTACCGATAAGATATCAATGTGAAGATACACTGGGCCTAGTGCCTGTCAAATTCACTTAACATTATGCCAAATTTGCAAGCAGGGCCTCTGAAGAAGAGTTGTGGGCCTCTTCCAAGATTCAGTCTAATAGTCCACTGGAGCATCTTTTGCACCTTATAAATGATGCAAGTCTGGGAAGGCTGTGTAACTAATGGTATGTACCTTCAGAATCACTAATCATAGGAATGGAATGAATTACTTTATGTCCTCATTGCCTGTAAAAAGTTAAAAGATCTTGCGTTCACTCTCATACCAGAATACCTTTTTCATTTCTAGCAGGGGTGTCAAACTCAATTTCATTGAGCGCCGCATTAGGGTTGTGTTTGATCTCAGGGGGGCAGTGTGGGCATGGCCGGGGTGGGTGTATCCAGCTCGATGTTACTCGTGTCGGGGGCGCCTGTGGTGGCCCGAGCACTCTGCCAGTGAAAACGGGCTGGCGAGCTCCATTTTCGGATGCCACGGCCTCCTGCAACCCTCTGCCAGTGAAAACGGAGCTCAGGAAAGGCATGGGCGGCCCTCCCGAGCTCCATTTTCGCTGGCAGATGTTTGTAGGAAGCTGTCACAGCCGAAAACGGAGCTTGTCAGCCCATTTTTTCTGGCAGAGGCACTGCGGGCCGGTCCTTCGCTGTTTCCAGGGCAGCCCCGTGGGACAGATCTAAGCACCCTGCGGGCCGGATCTGGCCCCCGGGCCTTGAGTTTGACACACCTGATTTACACTGTTCCCATATTAAAGCTCCTGAAAGCAGAAAACATGAGGCTGGTGGTGGGTAATGCTACTTTTAGTAAAAAAAAATTAGGTATCACCTTAGAAACAGCCTTCCTTCCTTTTGGTACCAAGTAGCTTCATTAATACAGTAGATTTTAGACTCCTTGCATTGTAAGGTCACAATGTCCTGGCTGCCACCTTTCAGTCTGTGATGGCCATAAAATCGCTAAAAATTGTTATATTTGGCCAAAGACCAAGAGGTCAAATCCAAAGCTCCACTTCTTTCTTTGGAGGCCTGTTATTATAGTTGCAACTGTTAGAAAATAATTGAAAGAAAGTGGACGAATTATAGCTCCCCCTGAACAATGGCCATTTCCTGATGGAGTTGAAGAATGATTGCTTAATTTATTTCAAAAGTTTCCATCTAAGAGCAACTTATTTAGGACTTTGTAAAGGCAAAGTGCAAAGAAACTAGAGTGAAGGTTGACATGACAATCTGGCAACTTGCTGATGTTCTGAGGATTTGTTTGAAACAGGTGAGAATTCTATAAAACATCTAGAAGACACTAGATGGGGTACTCCTGATGTATTTCAGTAAGCCAGAAAGCTAGTATGTAACTGATACTAATTTGGAAGACTGGCTTGGATCTGACCAGGTGGCCAATCCAGGGGTAAGGTCCATGTTTCCAAATCCATCTTGAGATACTGAAAACCCACAAGTTCTGAAGGAAAAACAAGGATTCTGCTGCTAGGCAATGACCTTCAATGATTCTGTATCACAACAAATCAGACCATAGATCTATCTAGTTCAATATTGCTAGTAATAACTCTGCAAGATTTCACACGGCTGTCTTTCTCAACCCAGCTTGACGATGCTAAAGATTAGGGCTGGGATCTTTTCTATGCAAAATAGATGCTCTCTCATAAGATTTACCTAGCATGCAGGAAAACTGCCTGTTCTCAGAGACAGCAGGCTAAATGAGATCATTGCTCAATTACTGTCTACACTGACTGGTAAAAGTAGGATTTCAGCCAAGGATTTTTCCGATGTATAGTAATAGCACTTAAGACGTATATACTGCTTCGCAGTGCTTTACTGCCCTCTCTAAGCAGTTTACAGAGTCAGTATATTGCCCCCAATAATCTGGGTCCTCATTTTACCAACCTCGGAAGAATGGAAGGCTGAGTCAACCTTGAGCCAGTTAGGATCGAACTGCTGGCAGTCGGCAGAGTTTGCCTGCAATACTGCATTCTAACCACCGCGCCACCATGGCTCTTTTTAGCTGGAGATACCAGTGACTAAAGTTGAGTCTTCTGTGTGCGAAGCAAACTAATTGTCCATTCCCCTTTGTAATACCATCTACATCAGGGGTGTCCAACCTTGACAATTTTTAAGACTTGTGGATGTCAACTTGTCTTAAAGTTGTCAGAGTTCAACCCCTGCTGGTCTACATCAAGTAGTTGGCCAGAGCTTTATATTTCTTTCAAAGTGCTGGAGACTGAGGGTATTTTTATATGAGTAGAACAGATGATCCCCTCCTGAGCCATACACCTCTCCAGAATGCCTCACCCTCTTTTTCATTCCAAAAGCTCACGTCTCACCTGACCAGCTCCTCCAGCTGCAGAGCACATATTATTCCCTCTGCAAAGCTCTTACCTGTTCAGTGATGAAGGAGCTGGAGAAGGTAATGGCTGACCAGAAGAAGATCCCACAGCTAAGAATAATCTTCCTGTTGAAACGGTCACCAAGATAGCCAAATATTGGGGCTGCCACCATAAAGCTACAGATGAAAACTGCAGAAGAACAGAAAGGAAGAGATGGATTGGGTCAGCAATTCCCAAACTTTTGAAATTTGATTGGGAAAGTCAAAAACAAAGTATCAATCATCTATATCAGCTTTCCCTAACCTGGTACCTTCCAGATGCATTGGGAATGCATGATAGATTCGGCTCTTCCGTTCAAACCTTTGGTGAATACTTCATAAACTGCAGATGCTACAGATAGTCCACAATATATGACCACAATTGGAACCAGAATTTTGATTGCTAAGTAATGCAATTGTCACATGATCAGACCTGATTTTACCACTATTTTTCCCTGTGGTCATTAATTGAATTTCCACAGGCATTAACAGCATCACGTAGTTGTTAAGTGAATCATGTGGTCATGAATTGATTTTACTTGTTGAAAGCACTGAATTGTGATCATGGGACCATGGGGATGGTGCGACAGTTATAACTTCAAGGACTGGCTGTAAGTCACTTTTTCCAAGGCTGTCATAAGTTTGAAACCTTTGTTAAATGAACAGACTGAGGTCGAGGACTATAGGTAGTCCTCAACGTACGGCCACAATTGAGCCCGGAATTTATGTTGCTAAGTGAGAAATTTGTTGAGTGAGTTTTGCCCCATTTTACGACTTTTCTTGCCGCTTTTGTTAAGTGAATCACTGCAGTTGTTAAATTAGTAACAGGGTTGTTAAGTGAATCTGGTTTCCCCACTGACTTTGCTTGACAGAAGAATTCAAAAGGTGATCACATGACCCTGGGACACTGCAACCGTCATAAATGTGAATCAGTTGTCAAGCATCCAAATGTAAATCACGTGACTGAAGAGATGTTGCAACAGTCATAAGTGTGAAAATCGTCATAAGTCACTTTTTCAGTGCCATTGTATTGTAACTTCAAACGGTCACTAAGCAAACTATTGTAAGTCGAGAACTACCTGTATATTTACATATCACCTTCACTCAAGATAGTAACAATGTCAAAGTGAGCAGAGGATGAATTTAAACCCGAGTTTCCCTACTCCTACACCAATACTTTGGTCTTTACAATATGGAAAATTAATATTTGCAAAACGCTGACAGTTGTATACCTTATCACTCACTGTTGGCTGGAAAGATACTATGTTTTTCTACACAATCAGTGTTAAATCTATTTTATATTCTTTGTAGACCTAGAAGTCACTTTTTTAATTAGATGGTTTGTTGATGTGCAACGAAAGAAAAGGCAACATAGAGATTTTAAAGACAGAGGCGGTACAATTAGGGAAAAAGATCTGAGAACAAAAGAATAAAATGACAAAACAAAAAGCTGGCAGAACCCAGATGGCAGCATGAGAATATTCACTTTGTTTAAAAAAAAGTTCAGACAATGACGGTCAGCTTGCCAGAAAGATTGCCTGCCAGCTATCACACCCATAGCTAGCCCAAAAGTCTTGGAGAGAGGAGCTCCCATTTAACGAGGAAAAAAAATGAAGGGGTGGTGGAAGGAAATTGGTGGAAGGTCTGCCATCTAGTCTAATTAGACAGACATTAATTTCTGCAACCAGACAAGTACTCTTCATTTAATGACCACAATTGGGAACAGCAACTCAGTCATTAAGTAGTTGCTAAGTGAAACAGCCACCATGGTTATGATTTTACTTCAACTTTGCTTTGCAGACCTGGAAAGATAGTAAATGCATGGTTTGGTTGCAAAGTTACTTTTTCATCACTGTTCTCATTTAAGCCTGGTCCTCACTAGAGATATAAGGGACCAAAGCTGGAACTTCAGCATGCCCAACCTGAATTCTACCCATGTTAAAAGCAGCCTTTCCCTCTACTCTATTACCTTCTCAGTGCAATGCAGTCTTTCTCATCCTTAGCAACTTTAAAGATGCAATGTAGAGAAAAGTAAAGTCTTACACTTAGATAAGAAAAACCAAAAGCACACATATAAACTGGGGGAAACCAGGCTTAATAGCAGTGACTGTGAGAGGGATCTTGGAGTCTTAGTGGACAATCAGCTAAATATGAGCCAGCAGTGTGCAGCGGCAGCTAAAAAAGCCAATGCAATCCTAAATTGCATTAATAGAGGAATACAATCGAGATCAAGTGAGGTACTAATACCACTCTATAAAGCCCTAGTAAGACCACATTTAGAGTACTGCATTCAGTTTTGGTCACCACACTATAAAAAAGATGTTGAGACTCTAGAAAAAATGCAGAGGAGAGCAACCAGGATGATTAGGGGACTGAAGACTAAAACAGATGAAGAACGGTTACAGGAACTGGGCATGGCTAGTCTAGTGAAGAGAAGGACCAGGGGAGACATGATAGCAGTGTTCCAACATTTGAGGGGCTGCCACAGAGAAGAGGGGGTCAAGCTGTTTTCTAAAGCACCTGAAGGCCAGACCAGGAATAATGGATGGAAACTGACCAAGGAGAGATTCAACCTAGAAATGAGGAGGAACTTTCTGACAGTGAGAACAATCAACTAATGGAACAGAAGTTGCCTTCGGAAGTTGTGGGAGCTTCATCACTTGAGACTTTCAAGAAAAGATTGGACTGCCATTTGTCAGAAAAGGTATAGGGTCTCCTGCTAGAGTGGGGGGGGGTTGGACTAGATGGCCTCTAAGGTCCCTTCCAACTCTGTTAATCTGTTAAAGATATGTAGACTTCAACTCCCAGAATTCCTCTGCCAGGGGAATGGTCTTGGCTGGTCTAATGCATTCGCTTTAAGCATTAGTCCAGCTAATGACTACTATGTACATCACAAAAACAAGGATAGAAATCAGGCCAGAAACAAAATGCAGCTATGTACATAATTAAATGCAGAATGTATCAACTTTAATTCTGAATTATTAATTGTCTTTCATATGAGCCAGCATTCTCAGGTCCAACTATAAGACTCGGATTGAAAGCCACATGTTACCAAATGCCCAATGTACATTTTACATTACACAAGCTCAGAATGGGGATGACTTTTCAGAAAGAACAATACATTTCTCTGGCATCCTCAAACAACTTTAAAAGGTTAAATATTCTTTTTTCAAAATGGAAGTCTTTAAAAATAAAACCGGGGAATAAAACAGAAGTTCAGTTCAGATTCCATTTTTTGTAGCCTTACCTCACAAAAGATGATCTCTTTCAGAGGCAGGTCACACAGGATGATTTTTTTTTTTTTAAATGGCACCTTTCAAAGATTCTGTTTCCTATACGCAACTGGGTGTGTTTCTTGCCGGCCCCAAAATACCAGACAAAAGGGCAGGTGAATAAAAATAAGTAAAATGACAGACGCCCTTCCAATTGAAAGTGACAGCTTTGGAATCGTAGTTTGGAATGAAGAATGAGCAACACGTCTGTTTCGTTGCAATTGTGGTGACAGAACAGGAAAGGTTTAATTATCCAGGCAGGATGGATTTCTCTGTATCTATTTCTGATTTCAGTGGTCAGACCGCACCCTGATACAGGTGGGATGATTTTTGTTTTTAATTTCTCCCAGTTCTTTTGTGGTGCGATGTGGGTGGGTGGATGGGCCCACATGTGCGCGCATCTGTGTGCTTGGAATTTCTCTTGCTCTCTCTTTTTAATTATACGAGACAATAAAAAAAATAAAATAGTTCATTTTCTCCAGGCTTCATGGATTCCTTCACGCGCTGTTACCCATGATTGCCAGCTCAGTTTTTTTTTTTCCACCCCGGGAAATGCCAGTCAACCGGCAACCTAGTTCTCTGTCACGATATTTAAAGGTGCTCTTTGATTTCTTTGACAGGAAAAAAATATCATATTTGCCCCCACCCCACCCCCTCAAAAAAAAAAAAAAGCAGAAGGGGTTTAAACGTTTAATCATAAAAGATATTGTGATTTGTGAAAGGTTCTCTCAAGTCATTAAGATGAAGGTTTCTCTCAGGTTTGAAGGAGGTTGAAATTCAAATTTGCACTAGGAATTGTTCTCCTGAATGTGGTTTGGGTTTTACGAGTTTATTTCATAGTTAATTATTTGTGGAATTAAATTGAGAATTATTGGGCATAGTCATTCACTCCCCATCTGCCTTTCTCAGAAGGGGATCAAAGCCCTTTTGAGAATGTGATCATCAGCAATGGCAGACCGAGCCTCTCTAATTGTTAATTTCTTTGCAATAGCAATAGCACTTAGACTTACTGTATATGCCATCCCATAGTGCTTTATAGCACTAGTTTACAGGTTTACAGTGTCAGTATCCTGCCCCCAACAATCTGGGTCCTCATTTTACCAAACTCAGAAGGATGGAAATCTGAATTAATTTTGAGCCCATCAGGATCGAACTCCAGGCTGTGGGCAGAGTTTGCCTGCAATACTACTTTCTAACCACTGAAATCACATCTCTCTCTCTCTCACTATCAGGCTTCTTCTAGATGAAAAGATATCGCGAAATCTATGAATTGATATTGAAGGTAAGAAAAAGAAACAAAACCACAGAGAGAGATTTGTCTTTTTGTGTCTTTTTAAGGGTGAGAAGATGTAGCTGTGGAGCTTGGTTCAATACAGGTAGTCCTCAACTTACAACCATTCATTCACTGACTGTTCAAAGTTACAATGACATTAAAAAAAACCCTAACTTACAATCCATCCTCGCACATATGACCATTGCAGCATCCCCACAGTCATGTGGTCAAAATTCAGAGTATTGGCAACTAACCAGAGGTGGTATTCAGCTGGTTTGTACTGGTTCGAGTGAACTGGTAGTGGAAATCAAGGGTGGGCCTGCCCCGCCCCGCCCCGCCCCGCCCCTACCCCAGCTGTATACTGTCCTATTTAGTCACATTTTCAAGGCCGGGCGCATGCACGGAAGGCATGTGTATGGGGTGAACCAGTGGTAAGAATATTGGAAACCCACCACTGCAACCAGCATGTATCTAGAGCAGGGGTGGGTTCTACTTACCTTTACTACCAGTTCGCAACGGGATCAATGACGACATCTGGGGCAGTGGGCAGAGCCTCCTGCCGATTTTACTACCGGTTCTTGCGAACCGGTCCGAACCGGGGGCAAC